CAGATATGAGCATTTGAGAGAAATCATGAGAAATTTGTAGTTTAAAAACAGTAATTCAACCTTGCTAACCAGACGCTTCCTCTGTAGCTAAGTGGTATAGCATGTCAGGCTATATGACGGTTTGGTATAGGATACAGGTTCAATTCCTGCCAGAGGACCTATTGTTAATACTATTTATTATAAACAGAGCATTTACTTAAATATTTGTATCTATAAAAATAATATATAAACAGAGACTATATTGAAATAATTGTTGGACTTAGTCTATTTAATAATATATGTATATGAAGATATGTTATACACTGAAGATCCATTAAGCGAAACCTTGGTAGATAGATCCTGGCTCACTAGGTTTTTATACATTGCTCTACTTAGTGTATTGCAGTATTGAGTGATCTTTTTTTTTTTTCAACCAATACAGAAGTTTTTAGTCTTTTCATTTTTTTCTTTACTGATTTTTTTCCCCTGATACCAGTTTGTTTTAATATATTTTTATTTGCAAATTGTACTATCCAGGTTTTTTTCACACCCAGTTGAGTATAGGTATTAAAATAATGCATATATATATATATATATATATATATATATATATATATATATATATATATTCATGAATTATTCATACAAAAACAAATACAAAGGTTAATGATTTAATTGGCAGAAATCCATCGTCAAACAATTCAAATAATATACAAAAAACCCCAAATCTGTTTATGAATGAAAAGATCCTTGTTTCTATAAATTTCTGTTGCATGAGTTCTTATTATTTTTACAAGCTTTCGTCTGTTCCTACAGACATCCTCAGGTATGGAATAGATTTTTTTCTTGTTTTTTCTCTCAGTAATAAGAGGACAACGAAAATATATGTATTGTTGTAATCCGAAAAATGCTATTAGAAATGAGTTATTGTTTTTGGAGTGTGCTGTCGCAATGCTGAGTTTGAATTTAAATTTTACAATTGTGCATTCTTATACAAATTACGTTGTCCTCTTATTACTTATTACTTATAAAACAAGAACAAAATCTATTCCATACCTGATGATGTCTGTAGGAACAGACGAAAGCTTGTAAAAATAATAAGAACTCATGCAACAGAAATTTATAGAAACAAGGATCTTTTCATTCATAAACAGATTTGGGGTTTTTGTATATTATTTGAATTGTTCGCGATGATGGATTTCTCACCAATTAAATCATTAACCTTTGTATTTGTTTTTTGTATGAATAATTCATGAATTTGTAAATTAATTGCACCTTTATTGAAATATATATATATATATATATATATATATATATATATATATATATATATATATAGAGTGTGTGTACTTTAAAAATCAGGAGATCTGTTGAATCTGCTACCTTGGTTTCAACTTTATGGTATCCTCAGGTAATTTTTATCAATTGACCTCTTAATGCTTTATTTTTAAAAACTAATAAATGCGATATTATTTTAAAAAAAAAAAAAAAAGAAATGAACAATGTTGGGTGTAATATAAAGGAAGGAGGAGGATGTGAAGAAGAAAGATGGTGAAACACAAGAAAAATAAGGGTATTATAAAAGTATTGGTGTCAAGGGTGGGGGAGTAATTGAAATGTACTTTTTGTTTTTTTATCCAGCCTCATATGTAGAATATATATTTTACATATGAAAATATTATATTGAGTCATAAATAATTTCCAATTTGTTTATCAACTTTGTTCTTCAAAAAATGGTCATAATAATAAGTATCTTGCTTATTATATACATTTATTTTTTCATTTATTCCAAAATACATAACAGCAACAAATCAGTGTACATCTGTTTATTCATTTGCCATCAAGTCATGTAACACATATAGACTCTTCACCTTTTCAAATAGTTGTTTATAAAAAAAATAGTTCTAATGTAGTGTAGTGAATTGTATAAATATATTTTGTGTTATGCCTATTTAAATTTATTTAAAAATGTTGTTAATAATGTATTATGAATATGTATTATTTTTTTCGCACATATAATAGTTGGAGTATATGTATGTATTTGCTTATATCCACGGATTGATATGAGAATGTGTATCAAAAACAAATTGAAAATTCTATAAAAACAGAAAAATGGCCCTAGCTCAAAAAGCCCTTGTCTAATTTGAATGAATTTTGGTATTGCACTCGACAGGGGTTCAAGGTACAATATGCTCCTAAATTGATAGCATTTAAGCTGTATCTTGGCAACATGCATGCATACAAGATTATCAAGATGCTTTGATACCACAGCATGAATATCAAAAGCATTATTCCCATACATACATATATATATATATATATATATATATATATATATATATATATATATATATATATATATATATATTACTTAAACCTAGAGAGAGCCAGACAACCTACCATGGTCTCACCTTAGCGGATCGTCAGGGAAGGCTGGCTAAAAGGTAAAAAAAAAACGGAATACTTATAGTCAATAAACAAAACACCATAACCACGTGACCAAATAAAAACAAACAAAGGGGAGGGTTGGGGAAAACCATTTATTCGAAAAAATGATGAGGGAGAGTTTAGAGAGAAACACAGGTTTTTTTTCTTTGGGCTTTGTACTTGCATGCTAGACGATTATTTTTGGCTAACGTACATGTTCTTGGTTCTTTCTTTTTTTTATACCTTTTTTTCCCTTTGGTATTGGATTGACTATTTGCAAATCAAGACACCGAAGGTTTTCTGAACAAGTATAGTTTCTTATAAGATTACTACTACTACTACTACTACTAATATATATATATATATATATATATATATATAAACTGTAATGTTATATGCATACATGAATAGATACATTTGAATAAACACAATTTTATGCTCATTTCTTTTCTTTTTTTTTTTTTTTTTAAGGATGTAGGCAAAATTTCAGTCACCGCTTCTTCTCAGACTGATTGTTGGCACAACTGAAGTAATGAGAATTCAACTGCAAATATGCAGGAAAATCCCTGAATATCAGTCCCAGAAGAAGCATTGGCTGAAAGGTTGCCTAGGTCCTAACAAAAAAAAAAAAAGCATAAAATTGTGTTTCTTCAAATATATATATATATAAGATGGATATGCAATGTGATAGGTCCTGACCTGGAATCTCAACTCCAGTCACTTTCTCACAGATGGGATGTGGCTTTCCTCTGTCTTTTCTACAAATATTTTCATGGCAACTGCTCTGACGAACTAATTTCACTGGTGCCCCGACTGCATGAATTTAAGTGTTCTTCTAGGTTGGCACCTCGGTCCCACTCTTTTACTGTCAAAACAGTTAAATGTAACCGCCTCTTCTACTCCAACAACTTCTTCTTCTTGCACTTCCCAACAGTGGAACTCCCTTCCTCTTAGTTGCTTCCTTGATAACTATAATCTTCAAAAATTTAAATATAATGTCAATTGACAGCTTCTCATGCCTGGATCTTGATCCCTGTCCTTCTCTTTATCCTTTTCTCAAATACCCCTTTTTACTCTTACTTACACTCTCTGTAACCCTTTGCGTTATAGAAGCGCTCCTGCCTTGCTGGGTGTGAAATGGTTAATATATATATATGGTTATCTATACAATAAAACCTATTGTCATATTTGAGAATGAATTCTGCTTTTGAAATCATTAAAAGTAAAAATATTCAAAGAAAGCTAACATGAAACTTTTAAAAATTAATATGTCCTAGAAAGCCCTGTGAACATTTTACTGTTTTCTTATTTGAAATTTCTGATGAATCTTAATTCTTCAGTTAAAGATTGAATAAGCTCATGGCAAATTCTCCAACAAAAATAGCAAATTCCTGTGTCAAACCATTAAATATTTGAGTTTTAGCGGCTTTAAGAAAATATTGCAATAACAATTATAAATATGAATGCTGGCCATTATTTTAAGAAGTAAGGGGGTACAAATGAAAAAAATTTTACAACTTTTTCCATTTCACTGAAACAGCCATTAAACACTTCTATCTTGAATTCTTTCTTACTGAAACCAAGTAGCATATGTCTTTTGTTGTTTTTTTTTTTTACACAATCAAAACAAAATAGACTATTATTTACGAGGTGAGATGTTAAACACTTTTAGTGTCCCTTCTTTCTTTCTTTCTTTCGAGACAAATCCCCTGTCTTACAAACATTTCCCTTAATAATAATTTAAAAATAATCCAGCAGACAATGTTATTTTATTTATGGTAACTGGATTTTTAGCGATTATTTCATTTCCATCATTTAATACTGTGCATCTGAAAAATGGCATGTTTTTCGCAGTTGCCATCACTTCTCGGGCTTTTGGATGAGATCAAAGTGTAGCATCTGTTCTTATCAGCTTAATCTGATTCTCTCTCTCCACTTCTACCTTCTTTCTTTCTTTTCATTTTCTCACTGAAACCAAGAAGTGTCTTTGCCTCTCTTTCCATGCAATCAAAACAGTATCGTCCATTATTTATTTGTGTTGGCAGGACGTAACGGTCGTACAAAGGGTGAGACAAACGCAATTATGATAGGATCATTTCTCTGATCCTGATGATCTGTGTATCTGCAAAATTGAAATTGGAAGATAATTCTTTTGAGCATTTCTTTAGCTACGAATAATTGCTTCTCTAGGTTTTTTAGTATTGCTCACAAAAACCTTCTCACCTTTAAAACGTGTTAAACCCCAGTAATTTACTGGAATATATGATTTGCTGCGTGTTAACAAACTGTGTTGTTATTATTATTATTATTCGGTAGTTTACCTGTACTGTCTTTAAGTTATTTTGCAGTTGCGTCGGTTGGCTTTTCAGCACGAGTCACCTGGGATTTTCACCAATACAGTTAACTCAATTTTTACATGTAAGAAAATTCTGGCTCTTAAACTGTAAATGGGCTTATGGCCATATCACGTGGAAACAATGCTTCTCGTATGATCATCGAATTTAAGCAACATCAAGCCTGGCCATTATCTAGATGGGCGACGGCTTGGGAATACCAAGCACTATAAGCTTGAATGTGCAGGTGGTATGGCTTATAGCCATATCACATTGAAACATCAATTCTCACACAATCACCAAAGTTAAGCAATGTTGAGCATGGTCTGTACCTAGATGGGTGACCACTTGGGAATATCAGGTGCTGTAAGCTGGGACATGCAAGTGGTATTAAATGGCTTACGGCTATATCATGTTCAAACATCAAGTCTTGTAAAATCACTGAAGTTAAGCAACATCAAGCCTGCTCTATACCTGACCGCTTGGAAATATCAGGTGCTGTAAGCTTGGGTGTGCAGGTAGTGTAATGGATAACAGCTTGGAATTGGAGATCAGAGAGCTGAGTTCCAATTCCAGTCAGGTTTGTTATATTCCCTTATGTGCAAATACCATTCAGAAAGGTATGAAACAACTCTTATCTCCCCAGCTATGGGTTAATTTGTAGGACTTGTATCAGTAAAAATCATTATTATTTCCATAAAATTCTTGAACTAAAATATTCTGTCTTTAAATAACATGCAAAAGGGTTGATAAGCTGTAAAAACAAATCAATCAAATAATGATGGCCATATTTAAGTTAATTTGTAATCATTTTGTTCATCTTCTGAATGATTATTCTTGGCTTTGTATCTCTGCAATGAACATCTATTGTTGCATGTAAGAAAGAATTCTGCCTTTTAAATCATTAAAAGTAAAAGTATCCAAAGGAAGTTAATGCAAAATAAATAAACTAAAAAGCATCCTGATCTCATTACTCATGGGCTATTCCATTGTTCTAACACTTATGGGCATCAAGTAATGTCTCTTGCTGCCATAAAAATGGAATGTTTCATTACTAAATAGGGGAGATCAGGCTGCATAACTGATCAACAAATCACATTATATTCTAACATAGATTATCAATGAATACAGTTATGGCTATAAATCACTAAAATTAAAATATTAAAAAGAAAAAAAAAACAATGACTCAGAAGTGTTACATTTACATTTTTAGTTTTTCATAATACTCAAATTATATGTTTTTTTTTAATACTAAACTTTTATAAAATGTAAGAGAGTCACTCAAGGTAGAGGATTGCAGTCAAAATGGTAATGCTGAATAAATTGTTTAATATGAATGCAGAAGGTAGTAAGAAACAGAGATCATGAAGATAGGGAGAAAAGATATTTTCCACATCTTTTGAAGTGATTAAATATTCAGAGAAGCACCCATGTGTGAGTCACTTCCACAAAATGCTAGTTCTTTGGGGAAAATCTGACTAGGTGGAATTTTCTTCTGACATTTGGTTCACAGAAGTGATAAAGTTGATTTGACTATGAGAAAGTGACGTGTGTTCACTAAAAAGGTTTAAACTGGTGGAACTAAAGAGTGGCTCATATGAACATTTGCCATGGAAATTGTAATTGACTTGCAACATTACATTTCTGGGTAAAGAGGCTGCAGAATGGAAAATAAGTCCCCCCCATCACATGACTGCAGAAATAAGGGGTGGCCAAACTTGCTTAATGTAAGCACCACATATTCAGATAGTTGAGAGCCACAAGACATAATCAAAATTTAAACATGCATTTTTTGTTACATACACATTTTGTTACAAAATGTTTATATAAATATTAAGAAATGCATCTATGCAATAATATTTATTCAAGTATGCAGTTTTTAAAATTTGTATTGGTTTCAGTAATCACAAAGTACACACACACACACACACACACATATATATATATATATATATATATATATATATATATATATATTATTTCTAGGGAAATTAAAACCCAACCAACCCTAATCAAAATAGATTGAATTTTCCTTAACCAGAACAACTCAAAATATTAAGATTGTCTGCACTTATAAATTAAGTAAATTTCTTACAAAGTTATTCCTAGCATCACTTGAGAATGGAACAAAACTCTGGATTTTAGGTTTAATTTTTATAATTAAATTTACAATTTTAGTTTCAGTTTTGAAACACAGAAATTTCTGTCACGATGTAATCATATTTTAAAAAAAATAAAATAATTATAAAATATATATATACCAAATGTTTTCAAAATCTTGATACTTTTAAACAAAACATGTATGTAAAGTGTACCAACTCAGTCTGCACATTTCATTGTCTTGTGTTGCACTGCATTGATGTACATGGCATGAGTGTAGTCCCCTTAATCTTCTTATCCTTCTGACATTCCTCTGTAACCCTTGCTGACTGGAAATTTCTTTAATCCCTCTTCCCCCTCACCATTCCTTCCCTCAGCAATAAAGAACAATACCTCGCTCAGATCTAGCATTTAAATTCTTAATTATTTTTACTAACAGAGCCTCAATTCATACCCAGTAAATAATTATAAAGCTTGAAATTTTTCTTATTTACCTTTTATATTAACTGTGATGAAAAAAGGACCTTAGCCAATATATTTCCACAAGCAACATATTAAAAAGTCCAAGAGCCTTGTCAGCCATTAAAATTCGAATTAAAAAAAGTAAATAAATAGCCTACCTAGGGAAATGGCACCTTAGCCCTCTTCAAAGTTCTTTCCTTGCACATTGCACACTTATCTCGGTGTCATTTTCCATTTGTTTTTTAAACAGTCTACCAATTACTCTTTCATGATCACTATCAGATGCCTTATTGCAGGAGTGGCAAAACTTGCTTAATGTAAGAGCCATATACAATAAAGTTTAGATGTTTGAGAGCCACAAATCATGAACAAAATTTACACATACATTTTTGTTACATACACATGAACACCAAACTTGTGTTTTAATCTAATGGGTTCTCAATACCCAGTAAATAATTATAAAGCTTGAAATTTTTCTTATTTACCTTTTATATTAACTGTGATGAAAAAAGGAGCTCAGCTGAAATATTTCCGTGAGCCACAGCATATTAAAGGTCAAAGAGCAACATGTGGCTCATGAGCTGCAGTTTGGCCACCCATGCCTTACTGTATTCTTCATCTTATCTAAATTTATACCAAATGTTTTCAAAATCTTGACACTTTTAAACAAACATGTATCTAAAGCAGTGGTTCTCAACCGGGGTCTACATGGACCCTAGGGGTCCATGTAATATTTCCGGGGTCCACAGGCAAAACTCAATTGTTGTGTTAATTAAAAATAGTAATAATAATTATTATTATAATTATAGTAGAATATTTTATTTGTATTAAATTAGTTTTCATTTAAAAATAAAGCTTAATCGTATACTATTTCTTTGATAATTAAAACCTTAAAATTTATATTAGTGAAGAATAGAAAATTGTTCTTATGTCCAATAGCTATGAAGGGGTCCACCAAGATAAAAAGAAGGGGAAAGGGGTCCATGGGTAAAAAAAGGTTGAGAACCACTGATCTAAAGTGTACCAACTCAGTCTGCACATTTCATTGTCTTGTGTTACACTGCATTGATGTACATGGCATGAGTGTAGTCCCCTTAATCTTCTTATCCTTCTGACATTCCTCTGTAACCCTTGCTGACTGGAAATTTCTTTAATCCCTCTTCCCCCTCACCATTCCTTCCCTCAGCAATAAAGAACAATACCTCGCTCAGATCTAGCATTTAAATTCTTAATTATTTTTACTAACAGAGCCTCAATTCATACCCACTAATCAATTATAAAGCTTGAAATGTTTCTTAGTTACCTTTTTATATTAACTGTGATGAAAAAAAGGAGATCAGCCAATATATTTCCGCAAGCCACAATTTTGGTCATCCATGTTTTTTTGGTTTTTTTTTTTGGTTTTTTTTTTAATGAAAATAGGTATGTGATGACTTGTTGGTGACATTAGATAAAAGATTACCGTATTTAAAATTACTAGTATTTTAATCCCATTAGGATGTCATGCTAAAAAAAATTAATAATTTCATTGATCTATTCAGATTTAAGGCCACATCCTTATAGTAAAGACAATATGAAAGTTATCCTGAACAGCCACTCTTCTGGATCATTCTGTACTAATGTAGGTGCCCCCCCCCAGGGCTCTATCCTTAGTCCTACTTTGTTCTTACTTTTCATCAATGACTTTCCTGATGACATTAGCTCTCAACTTGGTATCTATGTTGGTGACACAACCATTTACTCCTGTCTCGATAGTAAGCCAGTTCAGATTGGCAAATGACCTACCATCTGATGTTAAGTGGGGCCCAAAAATGGCTTGTTAATTTTAATGCCTCCAAAATAAAACTGCACTCTATTGAACAACTGAAAGACCCTTTTCTGCTGATGCTAACCTCCAGAGGAGTGACACATTGCACCTTCTTGGGCTAACATTCTCAGCTGACATGAAGTGGAAAAACTAAATTGAATCTATAGCTGGATCTGCTGATAAGATTGTTGGTTCACTGTGTTGTGCTAGACAATCTTTCTCTCCTGAATCTATCTTACATATTTATAACTTTACCATTTGTTCATGGTGCCACGTATGGTCTAGTGTTCCTGCTATATATTCGAAGATGCAATGAAGAATCAGCAATATTATTAGTCCTGATCTGGCATCTCAGTTTCAGTCACTTTCCCACTGACATAAAGTTGCTTCCCTTTGCCTTTTTTATAAATACTTTCATGGTAATTGTTCTCATGAGCTCTTTGCTATGGCACCTAGAATTTATGAATGTAAGCACAGTACTAGATTGGCAGCAAAGTCTCATCAATTTACAGTTGAATTGGATAGATGTAACTTCAAATTTCTATGCTAACAATTTCTTTGCTTGAAATTCTCACTTGTGGAACTCTGCTTTTTGCTTTCCAGTCAAATTTGATCTTCAATAATTTAAATGCAATATCAATTGTCATCTACTGTCCTCTTGATTACTCTTCTATTGTTCTTCTTAATAATGTTTCTGTTTTCTCATTCTTTTTATACCCAGTAACCCCTTGTATCTTATTGGCTTTACTGTCTTGCATGGGGTGAATTCAATTAGAAAAAGTTAAATGAATCCATATAACTTCTGACCTATTGAGGGTTTGGTTTGGTTTGTTTTACAGCATATCAACCCATTTGATCATTTAATGTCAAAATTTAATTTCTTTTAAATAAAGTTTTGTATTTAAACAGTCAATTTTTTTTAAATTTTATACAGTAAGACCTCTCTTTGTTATGTTTTTTTTTTTTTTTAATTAAAAATTTGGAATCAGTTTAATTTCCCTA